TTAATTTGGTTATCAGATTCGATCTTGTGATCCTGTGATCGGAAATGGATGATCTATACCTCATTAGAACCGTCTCAGTGAGCTGATTCGAATAGTAGTGGTTTCATCGAATTCTGTCCAGTGGTTCAAGAGTTATGATCGTTTTTGTAGGTTAACACTAGATTTTACCAATTTCTCCACCACTTATCATTGTCTAACTAATTATTCAATCAAAAAATTTTTTTAAATAAAATTTGTACTATTATATTAAAGTCAATATTTCATATTAAATCATATTTAAAACATATTACTTATGTTAAAACTATACAAACTAATTTTTTTATTAATACACAAAAGATAGCTTTATAAATCAAATATAAAGTTATAAACAATTTAATATTTTTTATAATTTTTTTGCATCTTTTTTATGTTACACCTCATTTTAAATTTAATTGACACCAATAAATGACTTATTTCTATAGCAATAAAGGTGGTAAAAAAAATTAAAGCTCATCTCTTTCTGTTATTAGATCAAAACTCTGTTAAAATTACAAACTTACCCTTGGCCTCACCTATTATTAAAAAAACTAAACTCACTTATTATTAAAATAAAAAAGTTCCTCTTAAATTATCATTAATTTACAATTAACATCATAAACTCCTATCATTAAAATCAAATATATACTCATAATCAAAATATTAATATTAAAATAATAAACTTATAAACTAATATACTGTTAAGTATTAATATTAAAATAATAAACTTGTTTAAAATACAATCATAAACTTATAAACTATTGCAACTGTAAACTCACCTATTATCAAAATCATAAACATATCTACATATAAAATTATAAACTATTCACTAATAAAATCAAAAATTAATCTCTATTTAAATTACAAACCTATCTTTACTAGCTCATGAATTATCTGTAAAATAAATAAATCTACCTACTATTAGATCACATATTCATTTATTATTAAAAATTTAAACCTACTCATCTACACTTAATATAATTACCTTTTCATATCACAAATCATAAAATTATCTACTATTACTTAAAAAATTCTATATTTTTAACTTTAAATCTACAAAACTAAGTTATAAATAAATATTTAAAACATTATAGAAAATAACATAAATAACAATCAAACTCCTTTAATATATATTATTAAACCTTATTATAGTATATCTAAATTAAAATTTTCATATTAAATTTTGAACTCTAAGCAGCAAAGCTACCTACATGACCAATTTCTAGTTACAGTATAAAAATGCAGATCGCCTAATTCTTTTTAGTTCAATTACACAAATCGTGAACTGAGTTATACACTAATCAGTAAAATAAATTGTAAATTTCGAACAGAAAAAAATAGTAAAACTTATAATTTTTTTTGAGTCTTTATACACATTGAAATAAAGGATTGTTTCTGATGCGATCAATATTGATTATAAAACTTTGAATGTTCAACTTCATATCTATAAAATTATTTGTCATAGTTACCTATTACAAAAATCCACAAAATATAACTGGATTTAGCAAAAAGCAGCCAATCAAATTTCAATAGAATGATCTAAAATAGATTTCCATTTTTGTTAATATGCCTGATCAATTTAATACAAAATGCATTCATTCAAAATCTATTAATATGAATATAAATTCATAAACATTCATCAGTATATATGCTAAGTAATTCGTTATCAATTTTTCCAAATTAAGCTTTTTAAAAAAGTTAAAAATAAATAATTAAATCATAGAACAAAATATTTAAGTTCACGTAAATCAATGATCACTTCTGATGTAATCCTGTAAATCAAAATTACATAAAATTAAACTAATACAAAAGTAGCTGCACAGCACACAGTGCCACGCAAGACCAACAATTAGTATAAATAAAAGTTCGTACATACACATGTGAGTACTAAAATATATACATCATTAAATTGTGACATCTAATAATGAACTGAGTTTCTTAAATACACTGCACTATTATTTCAGTCACAGAGCCTGCAACCCATTTAGCGAAGGTTCATACAATATTACGATAGCCATGGAGCTTAAAACAAAATTTTTTCACTGCTACCACAGTCACAAAGCCTATTACCAATGATCTGATACCATCACTACAGCTTAATTACTACAAAACCAGTTGTTACACTACTACTACCGCCGTGAGGCCTAATTACTAAATCCTTGCATTGCTACGACAGCCTCGAAACCTAATCACTATAAAAACAAAATCTTTGTACTACTACAGCAGCCAAAACCTTCATAGTTACAAAAATAAAAGTCAAACAAAACCAGATCCTTATACTGCTACTGCACAACATTATACCTTTTCACATAATCAATTGTCAAATATTTAAACTTATTGTACGTCACTACACCATTGACAGTATGGGAGTAACTTTTCTGCAATACAAACGATAACAAAGAGTAAAGTAAACATTTTTACTAAAAAAATCACCGTAAATACACTACATTACATCTTACTCCCTCGATTTAATTCACGCTTGAAGCCATATGAAAATACTCTTAACTTTAACATTAATTTATTAACATCCATATCTATTATCCACTTAACATTAATTTATTAACATCCATATCTATTATCCACTTAACGTTAATTTATTAACATCCATATCTATTATCCACTTAACAATCATAAACTTAACCAAGAAAACCCGATCTAACGAAAACAACAAGGCAAACTATTACAGTTCAATCTAACAATATGATCCATAAACTCATACGAACTTGCAATTCGAAAACAAACTACATTATACAATACAATATACTACATAAATTTCTAGCCACTCAAGCGCCTAGTTCTAAATCAAATTCTATAACAAATTCTACGGTTATATTTAAATTTTAAGCGATTTACATTTTATTATGCTGCATTATGTTTATTAGTCGTCATGCTACATTGTTTGTGTAATACAAATAATACATCTTTAAGTGTATATTTCTTAATAAATCTTAAAGCTAAAATAATGGAAATAACGAATAATACTAAAGTAATGATACCGCCAATAATGACACCAATAATTAAATTAATGTTTTTAGAACCTATAGCGATAAAGTTTGTATCACTTGGAATTGTATTATTTGAAATTGTAAGATTTGAAGTAAATTCAGTAACCCAATTATATGAGTCTTTTTGATTTACATTTAGCATAAATATTCTTGATGAATAACTAAGATTTGAAAATCGACCTATTGAGTAAATAAAAGTTTAAAAATTCAAATGAAGAATTTATAAAGCAAAACAGCGTAAATTATATAAAAATTTACCAAAAGCAACAAACATATAATTATTCACTAATGTTGCTGTATGGTCAGAAAGAGTTAGATCTGCAATTGGATTTAAAATATTTCCAATTGACCATTGAAATGTTACAATATCTAAAATCCACAGATCACCGAAAGTTGTTCCATTATCACCACCGAAAATTATGATACGTCCGTCAGGAGCTTTCAATTTAAAAGATTAAGAACGAAAACCTTTATATTTAAAAACTCTTAAATTGAATATAAAATGACATACTTAATACTGCTGAAAAATAACTACGAGCAGGAGGGGTTGGGTCAGATATACTCTAATGAAATACAAATTTGGATCATTGGTTTCTAAGGCATAATAGAAATTAGATTTGTTGATTACGTACCAGAATTTCCCATGTATCAGATTTTGTATTATATAACGGTAACTATAAACATAATAGTTAATAGATGAAAATCAAAATATTAATTTTATTAAAGGTACAACTTACAATATTCATTGGCATATACTTAAAAGGATTATAAGAATTTTTTCCTCCAATATATAAAATATTATTATTAGGCAAAGTTATTGCACTATAACCCTCGCGAGATGGAGGTGCATTTGTTGCATTGCTTAAATTCCATGTTAAAGATAATGAATTGAATATCCAAAGATCATTTATTCTATTAACACCACTAAAAATGGTGGTCATTCCATTATTAAAATTAGCACATGAAATAAGATATCTATCGGTAGGCACATTTCCGACAGATATTATATCACTCCACTGTTGTTTACTTGTATCAAATTGATTAAAGAAAGATTGATTATAAACAGAACCACCGAAAATAAAAATTATATCATTGTTTTTTCCACCATTACACGCTGTAGCTTGTACTTTAGAAGGAGCTTTGGTATAAGTAAGGTCAACCCATGGTATTAAAGTATTGTCAGTTATTGTAAATGATTCAGAAACATCTAAATAAAAGAATTCATTTGTAGGTTTGCTAGAATTAATGTTGTTATATCCACCAATAAAATAGAGTTTCTTATCAATAAGGACTGAAGAATGAAAATATCTTCCATTTGGAATAAAAGCAGCAAAAGTAAAAATAAAATTTAAGAGAAAAACGTAAATGCAAAAACTAAAATACAACATGATTATACAATTGCATTGAGTTGAATAAAGTAACTTTATTACAGCGAAATTATCAATTTGAAAATTAATTATACTGTAACTTATATCGTAAGAATAATATATTTGGCTTAACAATTCTGAGTTTAAATTTCTTTATTATCTTGGGTGATAGCCATTGTCGCAGGTAACTAATGCTACAAAGATCTGGAATTACAAAGTTGCGTATCGAAAGGCCTGAGTGGAATTTATAGTTGACTTAGAATTTTGTGGTTTGAGGTTATTATCAATTAATTAGTTTTTTCTTTATTAGTCTAAAATTTTTTATAATCGAATAACGAAGACTTATATACATTTCGGTTCATACTATCAGGATACAAACAATTACAAATTACAGTGAGATCTATATAAGTGCACCCCACTTTACCAACTTGCACTTAGAGAACAATTAGAAAAAGTGCATTTATGGGGTCGTGTATACATTTGGGCTGAAATTTGAGCGTGTATTATTTAGAGAGTGTGCACTTATAGATGGCGCGCTTATTGAGGTTTAACCCAATTGAAACGTAATAAAAGTGCATTTAAAGGGGGTTATGCCTATATATGTCTATATATATCAATGTTACAAACCTCAATATAGAATATAATTGGCCTGTTTGATCGAATTGATCAATCAGATTTGTTGTCTAATTCATTAAGAGAAGTGCTTAAGAATATACCTCGTATTTAAAATTTTAAAATTGCTAAACACTCCATTATAACTGTAAAAAGTAATATACAAATGAATTGTATTCTGTAAATACAAAGTTGACGGAGTAATCGACTGGGAAATTCTATCCGTTATAATGAATATCCACTACAGCATTATAAAAAAATGTTCTAGATAGATAATTATTCCGTTATAATGGTGATCCACTTTAACGTGGTCCGCTATAATAAGGGTAGATTATAATTAATTTTCTAAATAAAAATTTTCTAATACGTACCAAATAAGGTTACATTTAATGGACAGGCCATTTACTTGGATTACATATGATTAGAGTCTGCATTTTTATCAGTTATAGATACGTACGTACATATGTTTAGTAAATTATTTCTTTGTGTGGGATATAAGGTAAATGTTCTGTCTAGAAAATGATTATCAGAACAATTAAATGTACTATAATTAGTATCCATGACAATAGGTAATCATAATCATACATTGTTTAACAAATGAGTGCTTAAGGGTGAAAACCTGGAAACCGATCACAGTAAATCATTAAATCGGTTTCCAGATTTTCATTTTCACGCACTCAAATTCAGTATGACAGTCCGGAGTCTCAGGAGCAAATTAAGAACGCAATCTATTATAAATAATACTAATTGTGTGACTATAAGGCTTTTTTTATCACATGGTCAATTATCAAAGGTCTTTATCCGGTGTTACCCTTGTCTCTTAAATAACTTAAAATTCTTAAATCATCCCTGCATAATTTTAATTGATCACCACCCCTTCTGATTTCGTTTAAATCCTTGAATGTATGTCTATTTATACATTCCTATTTTATATCTCCTATACACATCTTCCGTATTTATCATATCAGATAGGCTGTTAACGCGTAATTATTAGCATTCAATATTAAACATCAGCGTTCACTTAATATCATGTCTCTGCTATCCCAATGCAGAACTACTATGATGAGAGTAAGAAATAAAATGGAAAGATGTTTTGAGAGGAATGATTTGATTTATTTAAAGACGAGGAGAAGGTTTTATTGATGTTGAAGCAGCTATGGTAGAAGGATGTCTCAAATACTATTAATTAAAAATTTATTGTTGTTTTTATAATTATCTGCAATAAAAGTTATAAATTTTATATTAGGTAGTTATAATTGAGAGTTAATGTGTTAATATATGAAGTTGGTGATAATGCCGTTTTTTAGTTCTAAGAACCAGTATAGTTTGCACCCTTTGGGGATATGTAGAAATATGTTTCCAGTTATGAAGAATCAAATTATTATAAAATATAATTATTATAGATATATTATATTTTTATTCTGTAGTTATTTTTAAAAATTGGATATAGTTTATGTGAACTGAGTACTTTTTTATTGGTATATATGTAATTGTACGTTATAGGACTTTAATTAATGAGTGTTAATAGTTATTGTAATTTGAAGGTGTTTGAATAATTGTATTATTTTAAAAATAGTTATGTTCCTATTTGACTTATTTATTATAGAATTAGAATATTGTAAAATATTAGTTGTAGACCATAGGTTATCCTGTAGCTGTTGTAGTCTAATATGAGTGTTAGATTCCATTAAACTATTGTCATTAATTTGTAATAAAAAGTTTGATATGTGCTGTTGTACATAATTGTATGTTCCATATGTTTTTAATATCATAAATATTGTGATTTAATCAAATGCTATTAGGTGTAAATATAATTAGTTTGACTTTCTGTTTTACAGTAATAATGTATTGTGACAAGATAAAGTTGCATATAATACATTGTTATATATTTGATATTCTTTTATTTATTTTAATAATAAATATAAATATATACCAAAATATATTAAAAGTTTAATAAGAAACAAAAATTTACTAGAATGATTATAAATTTTTTTTGCTTATCTTAAGATTAACTATTTAAAAATAATTAATTATTAAATAATAAAAATCTAATTATTCAGTGTGAGTATAAATTTTTATAATAATTTAGCTTATAAAGATCATTGTAAAATGTATAAAGAAGTGAAAATATTGAATACTATATTTAGTATAATCATTTTATTATTGCCTAGCTTCAAATTCAGAGTACATTATATAAGTAATACATTATATTATTTGATTTTTTTTTGATATATATATAATTTTGCACCTATTTTAACTTTTCTAGACTGTTTTTATCTTGAAGTTATATTAGATGAATTAATTGTTTAGTTCTATATATGATATTCAATATCTTTGCTTGTTCGCATATTTTACAATAATCTTCATAAACTCAATCATTGTAAAAAATGCATTTTATTTATTCTAATATAGAATGTTATGTGTATTCTGTAGAATATTTTCAGTATTTTTAGTATGCAAGTTTGCTTGTTTAATAATTTTTGCTAATATTCGATTTATTTTTACGCGTGGAATTATCTTCCTTTTTTGAGTTTATATTACTCGCACAAAATTCCCTATTTATAAGCATTGTTACTATTACATAGCGTTAACATTAACTCAAAATCAATTCATGGTATCAAAAATATTCTTAAAATCTAGAAAATAAAATGATTATTCTTTATACTCATTCCCACTTGTGAGCCGATATTGGTGCAAAGTATCAATTCTTATTCTTTGGCAAGATCCATTTTCATTTGATTCAATTCCTCATAAACTGTCATCTATTTAAAAATAATTTTCATCTTTTAATGAAGATGTGGAATCTATCCTGAATTTTCAGAAACACTATTTAATTATACAAGATTTCTTAGGGTAATCGATTTATTTTGTCTAGAATAGATCGAATTCCAGCTTATTGATTCGTTATCACTTAGTGACTTATTGATATATCACAATATCTAATTTATAATTTAAATTATTTATTGTCAATAGTGCCTCTTTACATAAATTACATATAAATATATTTATTAGGACAAAATGTTCAATTTTTCTCTCGACTTCAAGAAATATCTTTTTTCACAATATCTGACTTCTGCAGTTTCAGCTATCATATTATTAAGAAACTTAAAAAAAAGATCTACTAAACTTAATGCTTTGAAATTTGATGAGTATTGTACTTATTAATATATTATGCAATTTTATGCATCATTGACTCACAAGAGCAATTTATGCAATTCCACTTTGTTTGCAGTGATAATATTTGTAAAGATTTTAAAGGTATTATTTTCAGCTTAGAAAGTCAAAACAATTATTACAGGAACTTTTAATATACAGTTGTATTTGTAATGAAGAGTCCAAAGTGTTAAAAACATGTGAAAATTTAGAAATCCTTCGTATCAAGCGTTGCGAATATGCGAGACTATCAAAATTATCATATTATAAAATCAGTACTTTAGGGGTAGGCTTTATGCTTCGAAAGTAGAATTAATTTTAGAAAATTCTGCAAACTACTGCAACGATTAAAACTTTATCAGGAAAGAAATTAATTTTAAAACAATCATTATTGCTGGAAACATTTAATTCCATCTGTCCAAACATTACATATCTCGAAATTTCAAAGATCGAATTTTTCTTACAGCTCATAGATCTTATTGGTAATTACAAAAAATATCTTATTTCATTTTGTGAGTGGTATCACACCGAAAGGTGACCAAATTTTACATTTTGCTGAAATATTGCCGTTAACATTGCAATATCTCGATCTAAGGGGTCATTTTTAGAATTTTTATTAATATTTTGCTTACTAATTACTATGCACTTTTTTAAAAAAGTTGATAATTTATAGAATTGATAACTAGATATGCAGTTAAGTTGTAGGGAGTAAGTAATTATACTCAAGTGTGTTTTAAAGATATTAGTAATAGAATGATTAGTTTGTAATTTGTATTTTTGGTATTAGATATTAAAGTATATATTGTTAAAGCTGTACATATACATGTTTTATATATGTATAGTTTTAATAGTTGTGCTTTATATGTAGTTTTAGGTAATACTAATATATATAAATTACTTTTTATAAGTGTACACCTTTCATAAGTGTATAATTATGGTTGGTCTAAGAAGGAAGTATGTGTTGTAGGTTGGTTCAAAATTTGTAAATTTGGAATTGTTTTAGGTAAATTGAGTTTAGAAATAGTTTAAGCCAATTTCGGATTTTAAAAATATTTATTGTAAGTTATAGGTATTTAAAGAACTGTATTGTATTTTAAAAGTTCTAAAGTTAATATGTTGTTTATGAATATTTTTTTAAGATGAGGTTTTAACAATTAGTATTAATTTTGAGAAAAACACAGTAGCATAAAATAGTAATTTATATATAATTACGCATTTATTATTTTAGTTTAGTATTTGCATATCAATGTAAATATAAATTTTAAAAGGTTGAGATTAGATTAAAATTTTTTTAGTTATGGGAGTTGGGAATTGTTATTTAATAATTATGAAGGTGTTGAAATCTTGACAGTAGATTAGAATGACATTGATTAGACTTTTATTTGTAAATAATTAAGAAATTGTGGAATAAAATGTGTTATTATAATAAGTAAAATTATATTACTAGGATTAGCACGATATAAAATAGTTAAGTTTGATTATGATAAATCGTTAGTGTACAATAATTGGTATAAATTTGATTGTAAGATGAATAAAAATAATTATAGTAGTTGTATATATTTTAATTTAGTAGTTATTATTGACAATAAAATAATACTAAGTGTATAAAGTAAATATTTTTGGCATTGCAATAATTATAAAATGTATTAAGTATAGATTATATTGTAAAAATTTATATTGCTTGCAATTTTTAAAATTCTGTTTTTATTTAAGTTATTTTGAGATTTAAAATTTAGTTAAGCTGGTTTAGAAGTTACTTAAGCAGGTATTATAATGTGTTGTATTATTGATATATTATTATAAAGGTTTTAGGATTTTAGTTTTTATACTTTCATAGTTGATGTTTAGTAAGTGATTTTTTATTGTTTTTTTTTATAAGTAGTATTAATTTGTAATAATATTACTTTTAAGTATTGTTATGGGTTGTGGTTATGTTTTTTAGTTTGTTTATATTTAGCAAGAGTAGATTTCTTAGTGGGTTAATTATAACTTTGGTTTTATAAATTGGTTGATTACAGAATTGAATTCAGAAGCCTAGTTATGATTTTTTTCATAATCAGTCATATTCTTATAATACTAAGGGATCAACACGTATTGCAGATTTTTCTAGTGCACAGATATTTAATGTTGATAAGAACTTTGTACAGCTTATTGCTACATAAGCTTGGCCATAAGCAAAAATTTGTTCATCTAACCATATTGTTGCATGTGCTAGTGTTAAGCCTTGTGATTTATGGATCATAAGGGCAAATGCATTTTGAAGTGGATATTGTGTTCTAGATACATGCGTGCTATTTAAATTAAAGTAAGATATAGTTTCTTTAATTGTTGTATCGACTATACCATTTGACACTAGAAATACAATGATAATATCATTATTTTGAATTTTTCATACTATGCTGATTGTTTCATTACAAATTCCAGTTAAGAAGATAGTATTATTTAAGAACATTACCCTTGAGCCAGTTTTAATATGAAGGTGTGCTGATAAGTTTGTTTTGTGTTTAAATATGTCTTCTGTTTGTTCAATTGGTAACTGGGTTCTATTTATTATATCAATTGCTAGTGAATCTTTTTTATTATCTGTAGATAGAAGAATATTGTAAATAATTTTATTAATATTGTTAGCGAGTTGATGATGTCCAACTATATTCATTATGCAGATATTATATTTATTATAAGTAATTGAGAGCTTTTGTTGTAAAATATTCCATGATAGGTTTGTGATTTTTTCAATATGAATTTCTTGGAGAATATTAAAGAATTAAGGATCTTGATGTTGTTGATAAGGTGTGTTTAAAAATAAAGAATAGAAAAGTTTTCATATGGGTAATTAGAATAGCTGCATTCTATGAATTGGTGGTAGTTGTGCCAAGTCACCTGAAACTATAACATTAACGGCATCAAATGTTAAAGTATTTTTATGTATATGGATGAAGATATCAGATATAAAAGTAAATAGTAAAACAGAAACAATTGATGTTTTGTCTATTATTATTGTTTGGATTTGCTGTAATTCTTTTAGTTTTTCATTGAATTGAAAAATTGATGTTTGTAGTATATTAGAATTCATAATATTGAGTTCAGAATAGATTGTTTTATTGTTAATATTATTGGCAGCTACTCCTATTGGGGCAAGTAATAGATATTTAATATTTTTAATACGAAGTTTATTAACAAATAGATTTATAATATAGGATTTTCCTATTCTTACCAGACCAGTAATAAAGAAGTAAGGCCATTTATGTGCAATTTGTAGACCTAATATCAAAGCTAATTTGTTCAGAACCATGTATTGATCATGAGATAATGTATAGAAGGCAATTGTAAGGATGTTGATAGGAAATATTTGTAAATTTAAAAGTTGAATATTGCACAAATTTGCAATTTTATTTTGGAGAATTGAGTGGATTAGACTTGTAATCATTTCTTCATATGCATTTATTATTTGTAGTAAATAGATTAAATGTTTTTTGTTCTTAATTTGTTGAATTAGTCAATATTTATCAGCAAAGTGGGTCATAAAATGTTTACGATAAGTGGAATAGTTTCTTTTTATTTCATTTTCTGAATAGAATAGATAGTTTAAGAGTAGTTGTTAATAAAAGAATTCTTTACTATATTCTATCATTAGGTAAGTAGTTCGAATTATAATTAAATGTTTACATTTTGTAACTGCATGATAATTTTGATCTATAAATATATTAAATTTGTTTGGTAAAATACTTTCTTTTGTTTATATGACTTTATAGTATTTCTAGTAATCTGGGTAACTTAATTGATTAAATTCTGAAGTAATTGGTCGAGTAAAGTATTTTTCAATCATGTTAGTCCAATATGGACTATTTTTATATCTTTGATCATAGAAATAGGTAAAACTGCATAAGATCTGGCATTAGGTAGATTTGTAAGTAAATACAAGACATTAATATTACTGCGACATATATGTTTTCCTAGGAGAAGTATCATTTGCTCCATGGAGCCAAGGTGTCTCACAATAACATGCTTTTGGTAGGAATCTTGTTCAGTAATTTGAAAGATATCAGGTGATTCACTTTTAGTAATATATTTTGTTATATATTTGGCATAGTATTATGATATAACATATTTAAATTTATATGAGCTTGCCAAATTAGTAATGTTTCTGAATGGTAAGAGACAATCCATCTGTCCTCTTCTTTAATACAACAGTATATGTAGCAAAAAGAGTTTTAGTCTTTATAAGTAATTTCAAAAAGTGGGGTCAGAAATCCTTTGTAACAACATTCACCAACTAATGTGGATCCTCTACATAAATTTATAAAACAAGAATGTACTTGGTATTTAAGTACTAAATTGTATAACTCAAGTTCATATACTGGATCAGGCATATCAGCATGAATTAAATTATTTATTATTTCAGTAATTTCTGTTTTAACCCATGCAATTCTATGAGTATGATTTGTACCATAGTTTTGAAACTCATCATGTTCAAAATGGTGTATTCATTTTGACTATTTACATAATTTTGCATTTTTTTTTAAAGGTTATTTCATATCGAATTTAGATGATGTTTATAGTATAGTACAGTATGTAAAGGGCAATTTGAAGATATTGTATTACTATTGTCAGTTTTTAATAATATTATATGTAAATGATGCCAATTACTTCCTATTATTGTTATTGTATAGAACAGTTGAGAAAGATCTAGACTACTTGCAATAGAATTTAGATCTAGTCTTTTTCAATAAAAATATGTGTCTCCAGTGCATAAGAAGCTTAGTAAGGCTGTTGTTAGTGATTCATTTATTATATGTTGTGAATTGTATGTACTATTGTTTATTATTTCTCCCACCATTGGTAATCTGAATATATGATCAAATTTTTGCTTACAGGCAAGCCTTTGTATATTTTGATGGATGTATAATTTTTCTAATCACATATATGACCAACCTGGCCAGAACTAGTGTAAACAAAATCTTAGATCTGAATATAGTAGATTGTATTTGATGTATTTTCCATAGGTTATTTTTTTATTTTTTTTGTTAAAAGAGCTGGTTCTATAAAGAAATAGGTCTAAAAATAATAGTGGTTCAAGATGGTTACTTTCAACTAATATAGAAATACACATATCTGAATTTTGTAATAATATAAAGTCTGCCATCAATCGCTGATAATTAAAGTCTTCATTGTGTGTTTCAGCATCAAAATCATAGTTTGGAACTATAATGTTTCATATATTTTGTGTTCTTTGAGAGTTTCTATAAAATTAGGATTGGTATATTGTTGTCATGCTGTTGGGAAAGTAGTATTTTTGGTTTTACTTATAATCGACCAACTTGGTTTAAAATGTTGTAAATATAAGTTGTTTCTTTTTAACCAATTTACTGTGTTATATAATGTTGGATGATACCAGTTTTGCATAGAATTTATATTGTTAAAAAATGCACTGAGCTCTTCAGAATATATTGCTAATGCATGAATATTGTGTGAATAACCAAAGGAACCTTTGAGGTGCCTATAATTTGTATATGAGTTGCTCTTGGCATGTCTTTTTAGAGAGCAATATAGATGCACTAGTAATAAAAATTGTCAGTTATATATTGGAATTGCAGCAATTTGATTGGAAATCAGTAATAAATCTAGAGGTGAAGGTTTGTTTTGTTTGTATTTGCATGAATTGCATATAGCTACTTTTTGTGTGTTTGAATTTGGTGAAAATATAACTTTTGATTTAGAAACTTTTGAATTAGTAGATATTAAAAGTTTTCATTATAAGGTTCCTATAATATTTCCAAAGTGAACATTAAAATAGAACAATGGGCACATGCAATACCTGGAAAGTCATAAAAAACTACATTGTGTAGATGATTTTTAAGTGTTATTAAATCAAGACTTGGTCTCCAAAATGATATGTTCAAGGAAGTATTTCAGATTCTAAAAGTTAGTCATGATGATCATTAATTAGATCATTGTATTTAATATTGATGAAGCTATTTATATCATAATTGTAAATTGCATAAGTTGACATTGTAATGAATAAGAGATTTTTTGCATTTTGTTGAAAAAAACGAAAGTATTTAAGTAAATAATAATAATTTATTGATTATGTTTTATATATATGTGTATATATGTTATATATGTTTATAAGAAATATAGTATATATGATCATATTTTTTCATAAGGATTTATAGGATGGTGTTTGCAGAATCAAATATAGTATTCATATATCAGTATTAGTATATTATTGAAGTTGGAAATGTCCAGTTTTGTTGAATTTATTTAAGACTGTAAAATAGGTAATTTATGTGAAATTGTGATGGTGCAAAAACTTGGTGATCCCATCATTTTATTTTTTGTCTAAAAATTAGAAAGAATATATCTAAATTTTTGAGCAAAAATTTTTTTATAATAACAAAGCTAATTTTTTTTGTAAATTTAATGTTTTTCTTTTTGCTTTTTTTTCACCTTTAATTTTTTATTTCACATTGGCATGTTACATACTGATTTTACAATAATATTAAATAAAGATTATATAATCATCAAATTTTTGCACCATCATTATATTTCTTTCTGATGAGCTTGTAAACAAAGTATTATTATTGTAAGATCAGGATAGGATGCTTTATATGTTAATTGTTTTGCTATAACCTTTTATGGTCATGTTTATTATAGTATTTGTTTTCTTGTTGAATATAGGTTTTGTGAAGTAATCTATAATTGCATATGATTGTCTCTATTAATTGTCGAATAACTGGTATATGGTAGTATTAGTTAAAGGATATGATTATATATGTGAACAGTAAGTTTAGTATTTTAATAATGCATGTAAATAGTAAGTTTAGCATTATGATTGCGCATATGAATAAGTAAGTAAAAGGAGTAGGGGGGCTTAGCTAGGTTGAGAGTTTTAATTATCCTAGTTCATGCAAAAGTCAGTTATTCTTCTGTTCACTATTGCTTGCTTTAGTGAAGGCTGATTCTATTAACCCTTCTTACTCACTCTTTGTTAAATAGCTCAATGGCTTGAAAAAGTACAATGATCATTGTAAGCTTATTTAGTTCCAAGACTGGATTGGCAGTACAAGAATTAGGTTTAACTAAATGTACTTTATTGTTACACAATTTCGATATTCTGTTTATTGCTATTCGATCATTAAATTTTTCCAAAGGTAATGTTTGAATAATTTTTTGATGTTATACTAAATGGCATCTAAATTATTGTTTCATTTAAATATTAGATCTGAACTGTTTAAAGTAGGGGTTTGATGTTCAGGCTTTATATTCAAGACAAAAACTTGAGCATGATTGAAGCCTTAGGATAGTGGATCTATTCCCATATGTTTTTTCTTCATATTAATAATAAAGTCTCTGATCGAGCAATAATAATTGTACAGTGTGTAGTAGGAATCATGCTAGCAAGCTAGAGACTAGTTATGAATGTGAATTGTAAGTTGATAATGTAATACTATACCTGGTTAAGATTCAGATGATCAACCCTATATATAATATTATTAATTATCAAGAATTCGAATAAATGATTCTTGTTTAAAATAGCAATCATCTGGGTTGTATTTTAAAAGAAATGATAGTTATTATTTTAATATATGTTGAAAAAAAAAATAAATAGTTCTTTTTTTGTTGAAACTTCATATCAAACATTAACTGTCTCTTGTTATAAAATTATTGTTGTGAATATGCTATGCTATGGAAATACTATTGTAAAGATTAACCAAGTTCAACAATCTATAAGAGAGAACATCAATTCTATCATTGTATGAGCTATTAATACTATTCTATTAAACAGGAAGATAATGATATAGAATTAGTTATGTTTGTACCTATTAATGTGGATGAAAGAGATCCTAATAGTTAGGCAATATTTAAAAAAAATAAATATTATATCATTAGTAAAAAAGTTGTGCCTGAATATTATTATGATGTTAAAAGATTAAAGATATAATTTATGAATATATCATTGAATTATACAACTTTTACTTATATATAGGATCTTTGCTAGCAAAATGACCCTATGAGCTATTGTTACACAGGATTTTTATTAAGAAAATCATAGTAAATCTATTTTTAGAAAAAAATTTTGCTAGCAAAGATCCTATATGTTCTTTATATTTGTTTAGATAATAGTTGCAACTTTAACACATCACAATATAAATAAAGAACCTAATTCTAATAACTGTCCATTAAAGATATCTTTAGTTAGTGTTTCTCAAAATGAACCTCAGGAAGCCAAAAATGATGAAAATGCTATTATCAAAACTTTAGTTAAAGATTATGTAACCCAAGAGTATAATTTTATAGTAAACATTACTTATTCATATTTCAGTTCACGATTTAAATACTTTAAGAATTCTATCTAGTCAAAAGAATCTATGTTATTTATTATTGATGAAATGAAAATAATTCAAAGTGAATTATACATTTACATAAGAGATATTAATTATGTTAATACATATTTAACAACTAAAAAACAGGTAGCCGAGTCTGGTAATTCACAGTTATCAGTTGAATTGTCTAAATTAATTCACTCTAAGCTTTTGACTACTTATTGAAATATTACTAAAGAATATAAAAAAATTTCTGAAGGTACAAGTTTATTGAAACTAGTTGATTCAGATAAAGTTGAATTGAATCAATCAGACACATTGGCATCCAGTTTATCAAAACATATTAAGATAAGTAAGATAAGTGAAATTGCAAGAATCTATTAGGAATTGAAGATTTGGATCTTGCAAATATTAGTCATAAGAATGGATCACAAGAAGGTCAGAATGTATCTGAAGATTATGAAGAATTAGATAAATCTGATGATGAGGAAAAAACTGAAGAGTCAATGCCAAAGAATAAATATAAAAAAGCTAGTAGTTGTAGTTCTACGAAGAGAGTTTGCAGTTGTAAAAGGTGAAATAAAAATAAGAGACAAAGTAGACATAATACAAAAAAAATGTGTAGTAGTGAACTTGATATACATATCATAAATGAGAATGATTATAGTAAAGAATAATTGCATTTAGTTATCTAACTATTTAATTAATTAAATAATCAGATTAAACTGTGCATATTTAAAATGTAAATAGGTTTTTTTTTCTATTTTATTATTATGAAATTGTCAGTTATATTTTATTTTTTTATTTTACTTTTTCTACAATAAAGTTTTTTATGATTTGATTTAGCAAGTTAGTTGTAACAATTGACTTTTTAGACTTATTTTCATTCATGATATAGTTCATTGAGAATTCTTATTTGAATCTTGACTTAAGTTTTAATATAGCACATTAATATGACATATAACATTGTTAATAAGGTCTATAATTTGTAACTAGTATAGTGATATGTGATAACAGTGAATTGGATCTACAGTTAGATTAGAACATTGGATCAGCTACAGAATTCTATAAAAAGTAAAAGATAATATTTCAGTAAGTAGGTATAAATTAAAATGATAAAAATAAGACTACACAAAATTCAGGAAGAAAATACCTGTCTGAATTTCAGGAATTGTCATGATAAATCAAAATATTTTAATTCTTAAGACAATTAATTGTCAGTATAAAATTATGACTAGTCATATGATTTTAAGCTGCATTAACTAAAGATATCAATTCATTCATGCACAATCATACTGTATGTACTTATATGCACATGCATTAAATTTTAACTTACCCATATATATCTAAGCATCATGTACAGACATTATGGGCATCATACGTGTAATTGATTAGTTATTTTCTTTACATTAGCAAATTCTTTCATTGCAACCTTTCATTACAGTCTTTGATGATCAGTGATTATCAGTACATCTTCCCATTAAAATATCCGAATCAAAAAGAATCAAAAAGAATAAAAAATGTTTATATTTAAGAACAAGCATATGTAAATCTGCATTAAATTGCTCAAAAATACTAGAATCTTAAACAAATGCAATGTTAAGTTTTAGTCTGTCATAAACCCAAATTTTGCTGAAATTTGCAAGTATGCATGCTTTAAATACACATATTTGCAAATTACAAATATTTGAGTACAGTATATGCTATATTTGATATATATATATTGTTGGGTTCAGAAGTTTGCGACTCTGTCGCTCCACAATTCAAAACCTTGCGTAATGTATGATAAGTAACCTTTTCGAAAGAGGGTGTTAGATTTGGCTTGTGGGTGGTTAAGGCTTTCGGTTATTTTGGGTCAATGAATGCAAATGGGTAAGTCATGTGGTCAAGGGTTGAACAGCGACGTTTACAGGAGTTTACAAGGTTGGTAACGGTATTAGTGTTAGTGTTTATTATGT